AATGTGTACCTTCGAGCCAGCGGTCAATGTCTTCAAGGTCGGCGTGGTGGTGGTAGTTTGCGCCCTGCTGTGGAATAGCAGCATTCTGGGCTTGTGCATTCATTAATGCGACTCCATCTTTTCGGGAACGGTATAATTTTAGCGGTTCGGCACCAGGTCAATTTCTTGGGAGATTCGACGTACTCGCTTGGCCTTGGGACACTTGGGAGGATGCTGGAGGGATTGCAGCTAGCGAGAATCAGCTCAGGGATGTCCAAAACCGTGCTTAGCAGCCTTACCTTGATCATTCTGGGTAGTCTGTCCAGTATGGTTGTCATTCGTGATGGGAGTTTGGGCAGACATGGTTTCGAAGAGGTAGTAGGAATGAACAAAGCAAGAGACCCAATACCACTCGCTCTTACGTTTACGGAGCGAAATTAGGCTGGTTTGAAGGGTAGGATTGTAAAATATCACTGACTAAGCTCTTAGGATAGGAAGATCTAGTCACTCAGTTCATCCGATGTTTCTTCCCCAACTGGATGATTTCGACCTTCGACTTCGTAACTAGACAATTTGGGCGACGGCATTTCTGGTTCATCTCCGGTTATTTCGATGCTTGAGCTCATTGGTTCGACTACAATGCATCGGCCGGTGCGCACAGGCTCAGTTTGAACTGGCAAAGGAAGATCAGTATGTACTTTTCGATAACTTTACGTAGTTACTACGCTCGTAGTTACCTTTTCTAAATATACTCTATTGTCTCCAAATATGGGAGTTCATCGTTAGCTTGGGCTAGTTCCACGAAGAGTACAAAAATCTCTATATTCCTTACTCTATTTCGATACAAAGACGACCTGATTATGTGTTACGTTACATGTAAACGGTTCTTCTTCATGTCTAGGGTGTCTACAATCTATTCTCTGTTCGGCGTGGTCCATCCCTCACCCACCTTTCGGACTACTGTCAAGGCTACTCTTGCACTCTATTGTCTCGCAGAGTTTGTACGATAAGACCCTCATCTCTCTGTCATTTGGTCTAGTATGACTTCCTTATCACTGTCTATCTGTTTCGACAATATGCCAAGTTGCAAATTACTGTATCCGGGGACGCGACCTGCGCCACCTCATGTACCTTCATCCAAGAGTATTGAGATTTAGCGGTATATGATACGATATCTCTGGCTACTATTGGTGGCAATGTCGTCGGTAGACTAGGGTTTGTTAACGCTTGAAGTGCCCTTGTCTGCAGGGGTTGGTTCAGGCCACGATATGAAGCTCTCATGAGATTCATTTAGCTTCCATTCACCGAAAATGTGAACAAGAGGTGATCTGGACATTGTTTCGTAAGAATGAAGCTACAGTGGCATGGATGTAGCTACAATGCCCTGAATGCGGCAGGCGAAGCGGAGAACATCAGTAGAATGACAGCGACAAGTACGCGCCAACTCGTGAATACTCATGCCTTTGTAATGCAAAGTATGTGATACTTCAAAGTAGTAGATGATTTTGAACTGGGAGAAAGGGAAACGAAGGAAGGGACGGGAGGCAAAAGCCAATAACAGCGAGAAAGATGAAAGGGAGCGCGGTATGAAAGGTTGAAAGGCAGATATATTCAGACATAAAACACACACAAGTAGTCGGTCCTGGGTGGAGGATGGCTTGGGAGGAAATGGTCTTTCTTCGAGGTGTTTGATAGAATGCACATAGATACAGTATATGGGACTCGATAGAGCTTTGAAGGAGAGATCACTATCATAGATCTGTCTTGTAAACTTCTTTCTGAGGAACGACATACTCATTTTGCCCAGGCAGCCATATTTTCCAGCCGTGCACGTAAAGACGAGCACATCTCGAAGGTAACATAAATATCAATCAAATAGGCTGGTGTCTATGTTTACACGGGCCATTCGGGGGATGGCGTCAGGATGCAAGGGAGGGGTCGAGTTCAAGTTATCGAAACTCAATGTCGCTGTCATCCTGTGAGTGACTGAGGATAACAATAACTTCACCATACACAGGGATGTCCAGCTGGTTAAACATGAGTCAATTTGCGACCGGTCATCTGGGGTAGCTTCGACCAAAAGGCGACGTGAGCGTCGGACATTGAACCGAACGCTCCTATCCCTAGTAACATTACCACAAGCCCGTAACCGCTGAACTTGACAATCCAGGCTAATCTGTGTCATACGTGGGCTTAGCTAGCCACTGCACGCTGCTTGCATGAATTCATTTTCTGCCGATTATTTCGATCACTCCCTCAAAAGGAAGAACGAGTGATCAGAAAGAAGGGAAGTAGTATGGAAGGAACCACCGGTGCCATCTGGCCGAGCTGGACCCTGCACTGCCCCGTGCGACTCTTTTATAAACATCCCCTTCCTACCCACCACTATCCAGTCTATCGATCCTCTCAGTGGCCCCAGTTTTACTCTATCATTTTGATACATTATTTCCTGCTCACTGCTCACTTGGTTTACCCCCATTCTCATGCCTTGGATCCCACCGCAACAATCCAGACAGTACGCACTCCTAGCAAAAACCTCTCACAACCTTTTCTCTCCCTTCTTTAACATCGTCCTGTCTCCTTACTATCTTTCTTGTTACCTCAAGCAGACGTTATTGGAGAATCGTGGGGAGATATCCAGCCTCACGTAGGGATCCGAAAAGGACGGCCTTACTCCCCCTTTCACGCGCAATTTGGGTCACACTCATCTCGATATAACGATTTATATACTCTCAAGAAGTCCAGTAATTAGGATTTCAAGGCAGCTCGGCCTACTGGTTGGTATCGACCCCATAGGCGGCGAAGATACTAGGAAAAGGAATCAGCCACTATCCCGAGGTGGAACGAAACTATCACATACGATGTGACATAAGCCTCTAGGGTAGCCTGTGATGCTTGCAGGCCCTCCACGTCCATCGCTGAGTCCTCGGCGGTTTGCCCGACTTCTGCCGCATCATTCTCCCCAGCTTCCCGATCAATCGCTTCACGCATCGTCAAGATCATTCTACATGGTTTCCCCGAGAGGGTTTTGGGGTTGGAATACTCATCTGAGTATTTTCTCTCTCAAAAATCTATGGGAATTCTTACCTTTCGGTGGCGAGCCATCTAGGGTCTTCACCTTCGGAATCTAGTCAACCGCAGCTCCTAAATCGACAATCGACAACCGACAGATCGATTTTTAATAACAAACGCCCTTACCTTCAAACCAGACCTCGGAATTAGCGAGAGGACCTGATGCCGTGTGGGGACATTGGCCACGGGAATGGATAGCGTTTTGGGATCGTGTCTGTATCAATTCGGCTCCAGCTTTCGAATAACAGTTCACCGTCAGCAGTTTGGGGTGGTGCGATTTATTTTGGACTTTTGGCGTACCGGCATGGCCTGGAGACCCTTGCGGAGACGACTGGACAACTACATCTCACGACAATCAGCTCAGGATCTCTCAAATACTCGCTCAATCATCCTACCTTGTCCGTTCGGGTGGGTTTGTGCAATTGGGGCGTTACTTGTCATGGAAGTTTATGCGGACCTGGTATTAAAAGTATCAAGATTCGGGACAAAGCAAGCCTCCTCAGACCACTCGATTCCACGTTTCCAGGGCGAAAACGAGTTGTTGAGAAGGTAATTTTTGGCAGATGTTGTGCTAATTTTCGTTTTTAGGGTCTAGGAATCTTGGTCCTTCGATTCATTTGATGTCTACTTGCGAAATGCCTCATTTCGACCTTCTGTCTTTGTCACTGTACCGTCTGGACCACGTCGTTTCCGGTGCAGCTCCGGTTTTCTCGATATCTGGACCCGAGGCTTCGATTGTGATTGGCTTGCTAGTGCGAAAAGGTGCAGCTTAGGTTTGTTTGGACCCGATAAAAGGAGACTGGTAGGTGCCTGTCGATAACTCTCAGTAATTGAAGTATTTGTAGTTCGTCCTCCGAATACATTTCATTCTCTCACAAGGAAGAGCGTACATTGTAAACTCAAACTCTATCCATAGGAATACAAGTCCTTCTACAGTCCTAATCTATCTCAATACGAGGTTATTCTCGTTGTAGTCTCCACTACGGATCAATGGTCCCACCTACAACGCAACTTGAGGGTCAGGGAGCGACTTCTCTGATCTGCCGCTCACCGACACCCCGTAGCCCAAGTCCAGAATGGATTCCTGTGTGTTTTTCAATTACTCCATTCCACAGGCATATGGGTAGAGGCCATCGGAGAACTTAAGAGAGACTTGGTTCTACAATAAAACGCAAGTCTCCCTTTGAGACACTCAGCTGCACCGGCTTCACCCAAAATCACAAGTAGTATCGTTCATCTGATATGGTCGACCTCTATAGTCCACATATGCACATTGGAGAGTGACGCTGGTTTCATTCGGATGGATGCGACATGATTCCCCAGGTTTCATGTAGTTCTATATACATAGATTCTCTATACGATTCCTTGCTCCCATAACTTGATTATCATGTCGTACATGTTATCCTCTGTAACATATTATGTAGGATATATAGGCGAATGGGTTGAAAATTTCGTCGCGAGTCAAAGCAGACCCAATAAGATCTAAGCTCTGACCAATCCTGGATCTATAGTACTAATAAACAGTGAGAGAAGAAGAAATTCGATGGATTAGGCATTACATACCCTGTGCCCATGACCCATCCTGAGCCACTCAAGGTCTAATGTAGTTTACGAAGGCGTTGAGGCTCAGCCTGAGCCTCGCCATGACTTCTCCGTATCACCATCTATAGCAGGACTTGTACTTATTCTAGAGACTGTGCTTTTTAAGCATCCATCTCAACGATCGTTAGCCCCCACTCCAATGATTTCCAGTGGCGGATGGCGGTTGCATCGGCAGGGTGAGAAGGCGGAGTGAGGTTAGAGGATCATCGTCCCTATAACCAAAACGTTAATAATTTTGCGCCAAATTCTCCTCGAAGCCCCTTGCAGAGAGGTTACAGAGTACTGGGTGGCTTGCTTTGTTTCAAGTCTTGGTACTTCGAGCATCAACTCCTCACAAACCGCTATCACAAACCGCTATGGCAAGCCACATCCAGACTGCACAGACCAAACCAACCACCCAGGGTAAGATTATGGACCGGGTGTTTGAGAAACGTCGAGCTGATCTTCGTAAGTTGCAGTCGCCCAGCCTGTCCAATCTTCTTCTCAACCCAAGGCCAGGCCGTTTACCTCGAAAGCCATAATTAACCTGAACGATTTTGAAGTCCTGATTTTGATTTCTTTCCAGAAAGATCGACGGGATTAGTGCATCCACAAGCTCAATCCACTACCTAGTAGGACGGCTCACCCACGACTTGACCCAGATTCCCTAGCCATTTTCAATCTCTGGTTCGAAGATAAGGATTCGTAATATAAAATACGATTTTTCGAGTGTAGCTTGTCGATTTGGAAGTTGCTACCGACTTAATCTCGAATTCGAAAACCCTAGATGGCGAGCCGCGGAAAGGTAGGAATCCCTATGAGGTTTGATATCAATTCTAGATCGCTGATATCAAATTTCCAACATTAGAGCAGTTTTGGTACGGACACTACCCCACCACACCGGGCTCCCATCAATTTAGAGGCCTACTTCGAGGGTAAGGTCCTCTTCATTACTCGTTTTGTTGAACCTAATCGCTCTATTGATCACATTTTCCATTTATTTCATGCTCCACTTACCTTTTTCCTCCTCCTTGATCGCCCTTCTTTCGTAACCCGC